CCTTTATTGGTATATAATTCATATCCCATACAGTTTACTCATTTGAAGTGTGTACTAGTCAGCTGGGAATGTAGCTCAGTGGTAGGATGCTTGTGTAGCATGTGCAAGGCCCTGGGTTCAGTCCACAGTAACACACACACACGTGCACAAATGAAGTGTCCAAGTCTGTTCACTTGAGTGTATAACCATCATCACAAGTTTAGATATTTTATCACCTCAAAAGGAAACTCTAATTCACTAGCAGTCATTTCCTATCCTCCCTCCCAGTCCTAGCCCTTGGAAACCAATAATCTACTTTCTGACTCTATGGATAGTCTATTCTGGACATTTCATAGAAATCATTCAATATAGGGTCTTCTCTGACTGACTTCTTTCACTTAGCACAATGTTTTCAAGGTTCATCTATGATGTGGAATGTATCAGAGGGCTGGGGCTGGGGCTCAGTGGTAGTGCACTTGCCTATCTCACACTTGGCGTGTGTGAGGTAATGGGTTCGATTCTCAGCACCACATATAAATAAATAAAATAAAGGTCTATCAACAACTTAAAAAAAGAATACATTCCTTTTTTTGAGATGAATTCCATTGTAGGGACAGACCACATTTTGTTGCTTCATTTATCAGTTAATAGAACCTTTGATTGTTCCTGCTCTGGAGCTATTATGGATAAGGCTCTAAATCACTTGTCTAGGTTTTTATGTGGACACATGCTTTCATTTCATATGAGTGTATACCTCGGAGTGGAATCACTGAGTCATATGATAAATCTGCAGTTAACGTTTTGAGGAACTGCCAGGCTGTTTTTCAAAGCAACCACACCATTTCAGCATTCCCACTAGCAACATATAAGGGTTATGATTTCTCCACATCCTCACTAATATTTGTTATTATCTGTCTTTTTTTAGTACATCCTGGTAGGTGGGAAGTACTATCTGATTGAGGTTTTGATTTGATTTTTGAGGACTAATGAATGACCTAGAGCATCTTTTCATGTTCTTAAAGACATTTCATCCCCACTCTCCCCCAGCCACTCTCATGGGCCACCAGGTGCTATCCTGGGCTGCCTCCTCTCATCTACCTCAGGCTCTCCAGACATTATTTATTCCAGTTGTGTAGCTTAAAAAAATGAACTCTGAGGGCCAGGTGCAATGGCACACCCATAATCCCAGTGGTTTGAGAGGCAGAGGCAGGAGGATCATGAGTTCAAAGCCAGCTCAGCAATTCAGCGAGGGCACTAAGCAACTCAGTGACTCTGTCTCTAATAAAATACAAAATAGGACTCAGTGGTTGAGTGCCCCTGAGTTCAATGCCCAGTATCTCCCCCTGAAAAAAATGAACTATTTTTTACAACTCTGGGTTGTAGCTCAGTGGTTGAGCACTTGCCTCGAATGCATGAGGCACTGGATTCCATCTTCAGCACCACATTAAAAATAAATAAATAACATAAAAATATTGTGTCCATCTACAACTAAAAAAATTATATATATATTTATTTATATACACACATATAATGACCTCTCCCTGGGCATGGTACAAACCTGTAGTCCCAGGGGACTCAGGAGGCTGTGGCAGGAGGATCACAAATTCAAGGCTAGCCTCAGTGACATCGTGAGACCTTCAGCAACTTTAGATCCTAAGAAACCTATCTCAAAATTTAAAAATAAATAAATAAATAAAAAGGTCTGGGGATGTAGCTTAGTGGTGAAGTATCCCTGGGTTCAATCCTTAGTAGCAAAAAAAGAAAAGAAAAGAAAACTTCTCAAATGTATTCCTCCAGCTCTGATCTCACCCAGGAGCTTCAGATGTATGTGTTCAACTGCTTGTTACACATGGGCATCTAAAAAGCATCTTAAATGTAACCTGTCACAGATAGAATTCTTATTTTTTAACCACCCAAACCCATCAACTTCCTATCTTCTTTGTGAGTGGCACTCCATCCACCATGTTGCTCAGGCCACAGCCACCGTATCTCCCTGGTTCCTTCTTTCTCTCCCACCCCCGACCTTCCAAACCCCTTTCTCACCCATATCAGGTTAAGTCCTTCAGGAAATACTCAGCCTCTTCTCACCACCTCCACAGCCTGCAGTTTAGCACAGTTCTTGTCTGGTCTCCTTACTAGTCTCACACAGCAGCGGAGTTGTCCTTTAATAAAGCATGTTTTAACCACAACAACAAATTAGGGGCTGGGGTGTAGCTCAGGGGTAGGGGCCCTGGGGCTGAACTCCAGCATCAGGAAAAAAAAAAAAAAAAAGAAAACATACTGAATTTTGTGCTTCTTGAAGTTTCTCTCTCTCTCTCTCTTTCATTTTATTTATTTATTTTTTTGGTACCAGGGATTGAACCAAGGGACACTTACCACTGAACCATATCCCCAGCCCTTTTTTATATTTTATTTAGAGACAGGGTTTGCTGAGGTGCTTAAGTCCTCCCTAACTGCTGAGGCTGGCTTTGAACTCATACTCCTCTTGCCTCAGCTTCTGGAGCCACTGGGATTACAGGTATGTGCCACCACACCCTGCCCTAGCCTTTTTAAAGTTTATTTGAGAGAGGGTCTGGCAGAATTGCTGAAGTTGGCTTCAAACTTCAGTCTTCCTGCCTCAGCCTCCCAAGTTGCTGATTATAGTAGGAATCCACTGTTGAGAGAGAGAGAGGTGTAAATGGTGTCTTGCTTGGCTTTGCATGTTTTGAACTTTTCGTGGACTCATGCAGTGGGCAGTCATCCACGATTTACTCTTTTTGCTCAGCACAGTAGTTATTCCTCCCTGTTGATGTTTGCAACTGGATTTCAGTCATTTTTTTTATGGTACAGCAGGAACATATCACAGTTTATCCCTTCTATTTTGAGGGCATTTGGGTTGTTTGTAGTTTTCTGATACACAGTACTGTTGAAAGCATTCTGATGCATGTCTCTTGGTGCACCTGTTCTTCTGTACCTAGTAGAAATACTAGAGAAAAACACCCACCAGAATGCCTAAAATTAAAGATTGAAACTATCAAGGCTATGGAACAAATGGAACTGTCATGCATAACTGGTGGGAATGTAAAATGCTACAACCACTTTGGAAAACTACTTGATAATTTCTAGCAAAGTTAAACATACACCCACCCTATGACTCAGCAATTCCACTCCCAGATATTTATCCAAGAGAAATGAGTATGTCCATAAAAAAAAAAGATAAAAACTTGTAAAAGAAGTTCAGTTTTGTTAATAATAGCCAAAAACTAGAAATAACTCAATGTCCAAACATGGAAAAGAAGAAACTACTGGTACATACAACAGCATGAATGAATCTCTGGAACATTACACTGAGCAGAAGGACAAGTGCAAATGAATATATAATGAATGTGTGTTTATGTGAAGTTCAAGAGCAGGTACAGTTCACCTCTGGTGACAGAATTCAGAAAAGTGGTAGAGCATCAGCTGTTGACTGGTAAAGGGACAAAGAGAACTTCTGGGATGCTGGAAATGTTCTATATTCTAACACTTTTTTTTTTGTCTCCATGCTGGGGATTAAACCCAGAGCCTCCAGCATGCTAATCAAGTGCTCCCGTAACTGAGCTGCACCCCTAGCACAGTGCAGCTCACATAGGTAAAAGTTCATGAAGCTTTACATTGGACAGCTTCTGTGTTTTAGTATATATGAATTAGTCCTCAAAAAGACAATTAAAAAAACAGGCGTAGGGGCTGGGGATGTGGCTCAAGCAGTAGCGCGCTCGCCTGGCATGCGTGCAGCCCGGGTTCGATCCTCAGCATCACATACAAACAAAGATGTTGTGTCCGCCGAAAACTAAAAAATAAATATTAAAAAAAATCTCTCTCACACAATCTCTTAAAAAAAAAAAACAGGTGCAGTGTCGAATATTGGTAATCCCAGTGGTTTGGGAGGCTGAGGCAGGAGGATCGTGTGTTCAAAGCCAGGCTCAGCAACTCAGTGAGATCCTGTCTCTAAATAAAATAGAAAACAGGGCTGGGGATGTGGCTCAGTGGCTGGGTACCCCTGAGTTCAATCCCCAGTACTGAAAAAACAAAAATAAGAACATATGAGTGAGCCTTCCAGCAACCAGGTGGCCCAAGAGTACTGCCTCTCTCTACTGGCAGCAGAGATGGAGACCAGGGACTGATGCCAAAGTGTACATCCTCCCCCCAATTTCTTTATACTGGGGTGTTCATGGGCTTATGAATGATCAGAGAAGCTGAGAAGGGGAGAGATCACAATTAGGCCCTGGGCCACCTAAGGGACGTCAGAGTTCACAGGTGGAAATGAGACAGGTGAAGGCCAGCATGAGTGATTTCTGGGGTTGTTAGTGCCCATCCAGAGGCCTATGATGTTTTTTGCTCCTCCCAGTGCCTCCTTTTACCCTCAACATAAGTTGAGCAGTTTAAGCTCCTGGTAACCGTCTGAATGTGAAGTTCTCAAAACAAGGGCTTTTGCCAGCGGCTCCATTCATTCCTTTGCTCTTCCCAGGTATGTCGTTGAACTAGGGATTTTCCTTTTCCCAACAGAGCAGGTTACTTCAGGTGCCCCCTGGGTTGATTTAGAATCCCCGGGAGTTGGGGCGTGGTCCTATCTGAGCTCTTTCCTTGGGAAGCCTCCTGTGCAGGTTTTTGCCCAGCCCCGAAGCCCCCACCTTCGGTGTCACAGTGGGGCTACCCATCCACAAATGGGTCTCCCTATCTGTCACTTGTCCAGTCTGCAAACTCACTGCCTCCATGACCACCTGCTCCATGAATGACTCTTCTCAGGTCACAGGGAGCTAGGAGGGGGACCCGCTAAAGCCAAGTTCTTTTTCTTAGATATTGGGCATGGAAATGGGAAAAGGGAGAACTGAAAGAGACAGTGACCCGGTTTCCTGTTTACAGGATGTCTAGCCACAGGCTGTGTTGTGAGCTAGCTATGCCATTAACATAGACCAACATGTTCGTGTCTTCCCACAATGTCAGAATTTATTGAATAACAATAAATTCACAAGCTATACCACTTGCAGCAGTGGTGATTCATGGAATATTTGTAGGTCATCTGATAGAGATAAGTCAGGCAATCACAAGTTCTTTTATTCCATTCCAGTCTTAATTTCTAGTATCTATAACACATCATACTTTCTCTCTCTCTCTCTCTCTCACACACACACACACACACACACACACACACAAAGAATGAGAAAGGGTTAAGGTGGCCACAGGGTTACAGGATGCTATGCCAAAAGCACAGGTGAGAGTGATAAGAATGCAGAGCCAAAGAACCACGTTGTAGATGGTCAGATAAGGGTTTTCTGCAGTTATCAAGGCAGAGCTGGACAGATGGCAGTTTCAGTTTCAGAGTATCAGCTTGAAGTGTCAGCTCAAGGTGTTAGCTTGGAGTGGGCCCTGTGTAGTGACCATGGGCAGGAGAAACCATGCTGTGCCAAAACATAAAGGGACAGGAAATTAGAGGTGCATCACTGTGGCATTCTTCCCTGGCAAGGCTTGTGATGAGTGACCAGGTGAGAGGTCAGGGTGCTGCCATATCCAAGTACTTAGGTATTTTTTTTTTTTTTTTGGAGGGGTGGTTCCTGGGATTGAACTCAGGGGTACTTGACCACTGAGCCACATTCGCAGCCCTATTTTATTTGTTTATTTATTTATTTAAATATTTTTTTTTTAGTTTTAGGTGGACACAATATCTTTATTTTATTTTTATGTGGTGCTGAGAATCGAACCCAGTGCCTCACGCATGCCAGGCAAGCGCGCTACTACTTGAGCCATATCCCCAGCCTCCCCAGCCCTATTTTATATTTTATTAGAGATAGGGTCTCACTGGGTTGCTTAGCACCTTGCTGTTGCTGAGGCTGGCTTTGAACTTACAGCCCTCCTCCCTCAGCCTCCCAAACTGCTGGGATTACAGGCATATACCACTGTGCCCGGCAATTACTTAGTTTTGGTGTATACAAGTTATCAGTTTGTGCTTTATAGTTGTGCCACGCAGGTAGTGGTTGTTTACCTCTACAAACAAGGTGTAGATTCAGTCTACCTTAGCACTTACTCTCAAAATGGAGTAGCTCATGGCAAACTACTACTTTACAACATGGACTAACTCAGTGTTAGGCAGTTTGAAAATTCAGAGCAGGGCCCAACCTGTTCTCCACATAATCTGCTAAATGAGTTCAGTGGAGGAACTTTGGAAAAGGCACATTTGAACCAGTACTGCTGTTGCCAAAAGCTTGGTCCTTGTCCCTGATGCCAATCTAATAACAAGGACATGGTTTTGAGAAAAAGGAAAAAGAAGGTTTATTGCTTTGTTAGCAAAGGAGAAACTGGGGCCTTTTGACCCAGAGGCTGTGATTCTGCCCATCAGCAGGAACAGGGGCCTTTTAAAGAGGAGACTCAAAGGGTACATTCCTGTGTTTTCTGTTGGAGTTGTAATTACTTGTAAATTTGGGAGTTGGTCATTTCTGAGATCTTCTAGTACCAACTCCAAAGTCTGGATTATTTCATTCCTATGGTGGGTGTATACTCAGGGGCAGATAAATCTGCCTGAAGTGGGAAAGAAAGGTAATTCTGTTTTCCCTGAGATTAAGAGGGAGAGAGATTAAGGAGGAGCAGAGAGAGAGAGGAAGAGAAAAAAAATGTCCATTTAAAAAATAAGTTGCAAGCCGGGCGAGGTGGCACACGCCTGTAATACCAGCGGCTCGGGAGGCTAAGGCAGGAGGATCTCCAGTTCAAAGCCAACCTCAGCAAAAGCAAGGCACTAAGCAACTCAGTGAGACCCTGTGTCTAAATAAAATACAAAATAGAGCTGGGGATATAGCTCAGTGGTCGAGTGCCCCTGAGTTCAATCCCCGGTATGTACTAACTAACTAACTAACTAAATAAATAACTAAATAAATAAATAAATAAAAAGTTGCAGTGGCAGAGCAGCAAGGGCTACATTTATAAAGTGGACCACGGTTACACTATTGAGTGTCTCTGTGGATTCAAGCCAGGAGGCCTGGGTGAGGCATATGGGTAAAGCTTCACTCTTAACCCTGGGAAGCCAGTCTCTGTGTCTCTCCTTCCCTGTTGTCCCTGTGGAGCTCAAGAAACTCATGAGCTCCTTTCTTTCTTTCTTCTTCTTTTTTTTAAAATATTTTTTTAGTTGTAGTTGGACACAATACCTTTATTTTATTCATTTTTATGTGGTGCTGAGGATCGAACCCAGCACCTTGCATGAGCTCTACCGCTGAGCCACAACCCTGGCCCTCCATGAGCTCCTTTCTGTGCCCTGGTTTCAGCCTAGGCTTTGGAATCAGACAGGGGCTCAAAGCTCACTCCCATTCATGAGGTCACGACATTAAGCATTCTCCTTTACTTCTGTGAGCATTATTTTCCCACCCAGAGTAATATCCTCCCTCTCTATTGCAATAGGCTGGTTCCGTTCCCTGATGGCTTTGTGGTTTGGCTTGGACCCAGAAATTTGAGCTACCATGAGGGCAGCTAGATTTCTCTTAAACATGGAACCTAAGACATCTTCTCTACAGCGGCCAGGGCAGCCAGAGGACCCTGGAAGGGCAGGCTGGAGCTTTCCACAAGGGTAGGGCTGTCAGAACTAGCACTGGCCAGATTTGGAGAGGAGATGGTTTAAGAGATTCCCATGCCACGGACTCAAGCTCCTTTCCTGAGGGCCAGAATCCACACTACTCTACACTTGGCCTCTGCCCATTTTTGTGTGCCAGGACAGCATGGGCCTCAGACTTTCAGCTCTACCAGAGACCCTGGCGCTCTTTTCACCTATAATATACAGCTAAAGGCAGGTGTCCAGAGGGAGGCTGGTCAGTGGGGGTCTTGTGCCCAGCAACTCCATTTCCTGATGCAGTCACATTCTCCCCTCATACCAGAGCAGGAAGGATTGTTCCATTACCCACACCAAGAGAGGAGAGGGGCAAGTTGAATGGTCTGGGCCCAGTCCTTCCTTCTTGCTGGAGGGCTTTCCCTGGGCATTGAGAGGGCCCTGGGTGATCTGTGTCCGAGAGTTAGCATTCGAAGACCCTGGGATCTTCTCTGGATTGTTTTCTCTAAGTTTTACCTGAAAGTAACTATACAAAGCTGGACTAGGGGCTGGGCACTATGGTGCACGCCTGTAATCCCAGTGACTGGGGAGGCTCTGGCAGGAGGATCACAAATTCAAGGCCAGTCTGGGCAATTTAGTGAGACCCTGTTTCAAAATAATATATATATGGTATGGGCTAGGGATGTGGCAGAGTGCCTGAGTCTGAGCCCCAGTACAAGGGGAAAAAACTAAATGAAGCTAGACTAAAGGCTTTCTAAACCTACTAATTCCAGTAACTTGCCATGTGACTCTAGGGAAATCAAGTTAACTGCTCCTTGTTTACCTTCTGGCTAATAAGTGAAGTTTCTGGCTAATCTAGTCCCCTGAGGGGGAGATATGCAGAGCTATGCTATCTGTGGATGGTTAGGGAGGAGAGCCCTTTCTTTTGTCTACCCTTTGGTTAAGTGGGTGTCTCCTCTGCTGCTAGCTTTGTCCCCTCTGGAACTTGGGGGTGGAGTTGGGGAAGAGCCTGTGTGTGTGCAATTTATCTGCACATTCTTTTTCCTCTCTGCAATTTCAGGGTCATGCTGCGGCAGCCTGGCGCCTGACAAGTGTGGGGGGGAACCTGCCCGGGGATTACTGCTACTGTGAACTAACAGCAGGACAGCCTGGCCTCAGGAGAGCAGGGATGGACAGAGCAGCCACCGAGCCCAGGCCAGCAGCTCCAGGAAGGAGGCCTGGACCCTGGTGGGGAGCTCTGCGCACACTCTGCTGACCTGGACGGCTTGGATGCAGCACCCCACTGAGCAGCAACTGTTACCAGCCCCAGAGGACTCCATAGCAAGAATAGGTGCTTGGTGACCCCTGTGCAACTGCAGTTGGAGCTGTGACTACTAAGAAAAGGGACCAGCACCTCGGATGGGAAGCAGTTGGGGACTAATTCGAGGAGAATCTTGGTCTTTGCAGCAATTTCCTGACACCACCCAGGGAGCTTCCTGCTTTTCTTCTTTCAGGGCTGGGATCCGGTCCCTGCCCCTGGCAGAAGGGTTAAACGGGAGTGCCAGCCAAGGTGGGGAGGACTCTTGCATGGAATGCAGGCCCCCTGAAGCTTGTGTCCTCTCTGTTTTAATCAGAGTTCCAGGGCTTCCCCGCTGCAGGGGACGAGGGGCTGCCTCGGTGTCTGCTCATGAGCCACAAAGACCCCGACTGCTCCAAACTGGACCTTTTCAAGCCGCCAAAGAGGGGGGCCCCCAGAGCTGGCAGCCAGCAATCCCAAGGGACTAGAGGGCTGGGATGGACTGACCTCCTCCTCTCTGGGGCAGCAGGAGAGGCAGAGCCTTTGTGGCCCAGCTAGTGACAGAGATAACCAATGAAGCCCTAAGCTGGGACCCAAGTGGCTCAGGGACAGGGGAGCCACTCCTTACATTGAGGGAGGGTGTGGCGAGGATCCCCTGCCATATCACATGCCCCTATGCCCTTTGCACTTGCTGCCAGAATAGACAGGCTGCGCCGTGGCTGGCCCCTCAGTGGGCTGGGAAAGAAGTGGCCACGGTGACAGCTGCCTGCCTGCTAGCACCATGAAGTGCTCTCTGCGGGTGTGGTTCCTCTCTGTGGCCTTCCTGCTGGTGTTCATCATGTCCCTGCTCTTCACCTACTCGCACCATAGCATGGCCACCTTGCCCTACCTGGATTCGGGGGCCCTGGGTGGGACACACCGGGTGAAGCTGGTGCCCGGCTACGCTGGCCTACAGCGCCTCAGCAAGGAGGGGCTCTCAGGCAAGAGCTGTGCCTGCCGCCGCTGCATGGGTGATACAGGCGCCTCCGATTGGTTCGACAGCCACTTTGACAGCAACATCTCACCTGTCTGGACCAGAGAGAACATGGATCTTCCCCCGGATGTCCAAAGGTGGTGGATGGTGAGAGCTCTGGCCCCTTCTGCCTCCCCTTTGCTGCCCTCTCGCCCAGGGCTCGTCCTCCCTGTTTTGGAGTCACCCTTAGGATCCCCCTCTTGGTTTGGGGCTTCTTCTGGCCTCCCGTGCCTTGACAAAGTGGGAGGCCCATTTGACCGGAGCCATATACGAGGATTGCAGATAACTGAAGGGCAGATCAAGATTTCACCTGGAAGGAGAGAGAGCTAGTATTTTTGATGCCTGTTGAAGCCCAGCATAGACTATAAATGGTTATTGGTCCAGGAAAGTTGCACAGACAGGAGGATCAGCCCATGTGAGATGGTGGGGACAAATGGAAGACGTGAAGATAGGGGAGTCTGTCCATTGTGCAAGAGGCAGCCACCCCTCAGCCCCAGTGAGTGTTGCCTAGCCAGGGTGTGGCTTGTGCTGCTGCATCTTCCAGAACTCTTATGAGACCCACACATCCAGATTTTTTTTTTTAAGCACTGGGCCTCAGGCATGCTAGAAAGTCACTCTATCATTGACCTACATCCCTAGCCCTTTAAAAATATTCTTTTATTTTAAGACAGGGTCTCACTCAGTTGACCAGGCTGGAACTTGGAATCCTCCTGCTTCAGCCTCCAGAGTAGCTGGGATTATAGGCCTGTGTCCCCCTTATCGGCTACTCTTGGTTCTTTACAATTGCTGGAAAAAGACTTTTCTCTGGGCTCACCTAGAAAGCATTGTAAATTACCCTCAGGGGCTGAGGAAAGTCAAGAGGAGGGATGAGGGACCTGTGCAGCAGGACCCTCCTGCCCTTTTAGATCCTGCCCCCTTTCTGCTTCTCTCACCGCCTTCTGCCTTGCTCCCGTTATCTCTGGAGCAATGCCTCCCAGGCTTCGCGGGGCCATCTGGGTGCTGCCTGTGCCAAGGGTGGAATGGTATCTTTGGGCTCACAGGCTTCCTGCACACCCAACAGGAGGCCTCAAGAGCCCCCGGTTTCCCCAGTTGGCAAATGGTAGCAGATGCCCACCCTTTCTCTCACATTCAGGGAAGATGTGAGGATGAGCTTGTGTGACCAGCTTATCAGAGCAACTCCCCAGACTTCTGGCCCAGACTCTCAGAGTGCCCCAGGATTGGGGTCTGAGAGCAAGGGTGCCTAGGAACCCCGTAGGCCCTTCCATGGCATCCTGGAGCCCTTCCTGTCTATTAGTCATACTCACAGCCTTCATTTAATGGAAAATAAAGATTCAGGGAATGCATGGTGCCCAAGACCATACTCTCTCAGTAGTGGTCATATAGAGCCAAATCAGTATTCTAGACAAGGGTGGAATGCCAGGGGACAGCACAGGCCTCCTGCCCACAGGGATAGAATTCAGTGACTGTTTAAGCAGCAAGTGTGTTCCTCAATTGAGAGGCTTCTCTGTTCCCCTCTTTTGCCACAGAGTTGGGAATTCTTGTCTGAGGACCAGGATACCTTTCCAGAAAGATCTCTGGTTTTCTGAGCAGCTCCTGCTTATCCACAAACCCCATAGGTTATGGTCCATTCCACGGTCTCCCCCACCCCCAACCCCTCCTGCAGTGCCAGGGATGGAACCCAGGGGCTCACAAATGCTAGGCAAGTGCTCTTTCACTGACCTGAGTCTCAATGGGCTGATTGGGAAGGATTCCTGAAGGAATTTACTCTGCCTTGTACCCTCAGTCCACAGCATTTTAAAGCCCCAGTTTTAGCATTATCAGTTGGTGGCCATGCCATGGGCCAGGTCTAGCCCACTAAGTATTATTCCAGTATTTACATTTACATAGTTACCAATATTTAGAAATCAGATTATTTCACATGAAACCTATATTTTTTGCTTCTCTTGAAAAATTGGGGAATTTGGCCCCATTGGGCTTATAAATCCATGTGTTAAGAATTGGTTTGGGGCTGAGGATGTGCTCAAGTGGTAACGCGCTCGCCTGGCATGCGCGGGGGCGCTGGTTTCGATCCTCAGCACCACATAAAAATAAAATAAAGATGTTGTGTCCACCAAAAACTGAAAAATAAATATTAAAAAAAATATCTCTTTCTCCTCTCTCTCTTAAAAAAAAAAGAATTGGTTGAATTTTTTTTTTTTTTTTTTTGAGGTACTGGGATTGAATTCAGAGGCACTCTACCACTAAGCTACATCTCCAACCCTTTTAAAAAATTTTAATTTTTTAAAATATTTTTTATAAATTGTTGATGAATTTTAAAATTTTATTTATTTGTATGTGGTGCTGAGAATCGAACCTAGTGCCTCACACATGCTAGGCAAGCGCTCTACCACTAAGCCACAATCCCAGCCCTTAAAATTTTTACTTTGAAACATGGTCTTTCTAAGTTACAGAGGCTGGTCTTGAACTTGTGATCTTCCCAGTCACTGGGATTACAGACATGTACCACTGTGCTGGACTGAATTTGCTCTTTCTGATGGGGCATATGGTCTGTGGACCCCACCTGTTGCTTCACTCTCGTGTGACACCTTTCTGGCCCAGAAAGCACTAGACTGCTGTCCTGCCTTATTTTACAATCTTTATCTATCAATAGCTTGGATTCCAGCTTGTAGTTGGGGGCGACTGAGGGTGAGGTGAGGGAATGGCTTTAGGTATCCCATGAATGTGACCCTGGATGGGGCATCTATAACCCCAGCCATCAGGCTGAGTCTCAGGAGTTCCCAAGGTGGGCCGATTGGGAAGGACTCCTGAAGGAAGTTGCTCTGCCTTGTGACTGCAGGTCCCCCAGGAGCACGGTGAATAGCAGCTTGATCCTCCAGTCCTCTATGGCATGTCAGAGAAACCCAATGATTGTCAGGGCACTGGTTTCTGAACAGGAGGCCCACTGGAACCAGGACTTTGCTGCTTTTGAGAAATGGAGGGGTCCTCCCGGGCAAGGAGGTCTATGTGGCTCCAACTCAAAGGGAGGGCTCAGAGGGGTGGCCAGAGGCCCTCCCTCCATTTAGCCCTCCCTCCCCACCCACAGATGTTGCAGCCCCAGTTCAAGTCGCACAACACCAATGAGGTACTGGAGAAGCTGTTCCAGATTGTGCCAGGCGAGAACCCCTACCGCTTCCGGGACCCCCACCAGTGCAGGCGCTGTGCTGTGGTGGGGAACTCTGGCAACTTGAGGGGCTCTGGCTACGGGCAGGACGTGGATGGGCACAATTTCATCATGAGGTGAGCCCCCGTGGAACCGAGGGTGGGTGAGGACAAGCCTCCAGGAAGGGGTCCCTGCCTCCTTGGCCTTATCTGGCAGGGGATGAGTTGCCTGGGTGCTAAGGGATGCTGACACCTATAGGCTTCCAGGACAGGCTTGGGTTGTGTCCCTTGTCCGTTTAGGGTGGGTGGGAGGTTGCATTCCAAATCTCACTTTGCTAGAGGACCACATTCACTTTCCAATTCCTCTGAAAAGGGCTGAAGCTAGACCCCTGGCTGGTGTTTGGTGGAAACTCATCAGAAGTCCTTATTACTCACCTGGTCCCCTCAGCATAAGCCAGAAGTGAGCTCCCCAAGGCAAACTTGCATCTTGCTTTATAGCAACAGGTGATTCTTTCTAGCAGACTAACTGAAGACAGATGTCGTAGGCAGAAAAAGCTGTCTCGATGACTGCCTGTTCTCTTCATCCTCATAAGACTTCCAGAGACATCTCTGCCTAGCCCTGAGGAAGGGAGAAGAGTAGAGAGAGTGTTCAGTGAAGACAGACACAGCATGATGAAGGGTGTGTCAGGGAACACAGGGTGGACTCAGGTTCCAGCATGGGCTGCTCTCAGCTCTTAACCCATCTCTTCTGCCTTCCTCCCTTGGCTTGGCTAGGGATAGGATATGCCACACGGGGATCCTTCCACCCCTGTCCTTGGTATTGCCTGGTTTTTACCAAATATCTCAGGATGAGCATTACAAAAAGGCCAGATTTCCCAGGAGGCAGAAGGAAGGGCTTTGTCTTCGACACTGTTGCTGTCTCCATAGCAACACCAGGCAGCAATATGTCTCTGAGACTTTCCACATTCTTTGCAAGACCTTCCTCCTATTGAGAAATGGTGATGGGCCGGGGAGAGAGAAGGGTGCTTTACCCCACCCAGCACCCCAGAACCACCTCAGTTTACCTCATCCCCTAATTACCGGCACCTCAAATAGGAGGGAGGTGAGATGGAAGCCAGGGAGGGACCTCTCTCTCTTCACCCAGAAACAATGGGTTGAAATTAGAAAATGAGGTGCTGTTGCAGTGTGGCCATCAAGCACTTGGGAAGCCCAGAGAAATGCTCTCAGATGCCTGAGCACCTGCCTTCCCAGCCACCTGTAACAAGTGGGAGCTTTGATGAGACACCTCAGGATAATTGATGAGCTCCAGGGTTGAAATCCTGCAAAACCAAAAGTCTTGGCCACTTATGACATGTAGGTGACACCTAGTCAGGCCAGGCTGAGACAAATCCACCAGTACTCCTTCTCAGGAGGCATGCTCAAGATATGTTTTGGATCAAACCCCAGACTTTCCTTCTGGAAGGGATGATCAGATGGTAATTGACTATCTGCTGATCTGTATGAGGAACCAGATAGCAGTGGAGGCCCATCTTGATTTAGAACCAACAGGGAGGCCCCTCATCTTAGAACCAGTGTGAGACTCTACTGGGAGAGCCAAACTGAGTTACATTGACATGATGGCTCTACTCTCCTGTCTCCCTACCAGCTGCCTCCTCCAGGAGGATAAGTCCTCCAAGCCCTGCTGACAACTCAAAATAGAATTGAGCTATTCCCATCTCGGATGGCCAGCAGCTACATCCACAACTCCTAGTGCAGCTCCCGGTAGATAGAAGGCATGCTGTGAATATATGAAGGAAAAGGAGTAGGCAACCAGACACCGGACCGTAAATAAGAGTGTCCATCCACCCTGCCTGTGTTCCATCCCAAAGCATTTTTGGCTGCTGGAGATAGCCACGGACAGATAAAAGTTTCTGGAATGCTTTGCCCCCAAATCCCAGAGAGCCAGCTCATCCTATGGCCCCTTTCCAGGGGTTGGCTTCTCCAAAATGAATCAGAACCTCAAAACAACATCTTGACTCCAGAAGACTGCCACGTTCTTTCCTTTTCCCTCAGAGGCTAGAAATATCTTTGGGGCTTCTTGCTTCATTTGTTCCCAGCTTTGTGGGCTGGTGCTTGGACAGAGCATAGAGGAGAGTAGGGCGAGAGCAGGCTCTGCAGCAAGCCTGCCTGCAGGGGTGGGAGGTGGGTGGCCTCACTGCCAGGTCTAGGAGGGACTTCTCAAAAGCTCTAGCTGCCAGCACATGGAGAAGGCAAAAGCAGGTCTTCAGAAGCCAGGCCTGAGGCAACCTCAGCCCCTTGATCAGCAGGGTCTGCTTGGCCTCTTGTGAAATGAAGTTTGCTTCTTAGGTTCTCACAAGTATGAGACCCCTTGCTCCTGCTCAGCCAGTGTCCCCAACCCACATTTTTCCACTTCCTGCTTGCCCCTTTGCATCCTTCAGGCAACCGAGAGATGGTTCGTTACCTACTTTGATACCATCCCCTGTTAAGGCTTCTCTCCAACATACTTTGTTCTCCACAGGGTCCAGGATGACTTGGCAGAAGGCAGACAGCAGACACAGACTAGCTATGGTGACCACAGGACATCAGTGCCTGTGTGTATAACTGTAGCAGCCCCAAACCTGTTAAGCATTACTCATGAGAGGGAAAAGATAATTCTGGGCTTCTCTAGGAGACAGTAGCTCTGAACCCTAAAGACTAGGAGACCAGAGGGAGACAGCCAGGAGACAGAGGGAGTTTCTCTGAAGACATGGGTCTGGGGCATGGGGGCAGGATCTAGATCTCTGTTCTGGGCATAGGGCACAATAGGTTCTATAGAGAAGATTCCAGAAGTCTGCTTGAACCCAGACTAGAATTAGGATGGTTCAGAACAAAGACTGCTAGAAGTGGTAGTGCACCCCTGTAATCTCAGGCTGAT